GGAGTTGTATGGAAATAAAATACAGTAAAAACTTACATATGTTTCTGAATGTGAACTATATTAAATAACCAAATAACAGAGAGGACAGAGCCAAAAGTGAACATAACTATTGGCCAAATGTAGATTCTAGTACGAAGAATGGGTTATATTTAATTGAGTTGTTGAACAAATATGTGTTAAAAGAAATTTCCTACCGCCATGTTCTAATGCCATTAATCCCAAAGAAACACACAGAAGTCTACATGAATTATAAACTGATTGGCCTAATAGCTCAGACTTCTTATTAACCCTTATATCTTATCGTGGCCCATAATTCTTGTCTGTGTTAGCCACGTGGCTTGGTACCTTTTTCAGCGAAGCAGTCACATCTTGTTTCTTTTGTGTGTGGATTCCTCTGTGTCTGGGTGATGACTGCAGACTGCCTCTTTTCTCTTCCCAGAATTTTCCTGTTCTCCTTTCCCTGCTTCTACTTCCTGCCTAGGCACCTTGCCTCTCTTCTTGCCTGGCTATTGGACAATCAGCATTTAATTTAAAAAGTACAAGAAACAAATTTTTACAGAGTAAAACCATTGTCCCACAGCAAATGGGCTCCATGGAAACCCCACAAAACCGGATATCACCAAGGCTATTTATTGATTGTTCTCCACAAATTGGTGGTAAGGCCTTTTTGCTGAAGACAATCCCTACACGAATCATTGAACAGAGAAAGTTGGAGCTGGTGCCTATCTACAACCTTCACGCAAATGATTTAGTGTTCAGCATTCTGGAGGGTGCTCTGCACACCAACCCAGCTACAAACTCTTCAAGATACAGTTCTGCAATAGTGCCACAAAGCTTTTATATATAACCAACCAGTATCTGATTTGATTTAAATCATGCCCTCCAATAGATGAAATCCATACCTGACACTGCTTGGGTGGATAAAAACCTGAGATCAGATAAGCCAGAAGCCTAGGGGAAAATGAAATACAGTAGAATTTCTACATTCTGCTATAATAGCGTAGCAATAAAATGACTCCATCATCACAGAAGCTTCATCTGAGAGAACATGGGAACAAATATGGAGACTCATATACCGATAATATGCAGAATGAGACCTCAAAACACTCCATTCTGCATGGGATATCTCCCTCAATCTTGCCCGTCAGGACTCATGGAACTCTGTGGAAAAGGAAGTGAAAAGAATGTCAGAGCCAGAGGGACTGAGGACAACAAGAAAACAAGGTCTTCTTGTCAGAGACGGATCCAACAAAATCAGGTGAGGGATTTAGGGTAGGGCACGAAGACTAAGGAAATGACAGACTAAAAAACATAGAGACAGAAAACAAAGGATAGATTTTAGGGACTGCCATCTTACTCTGCATATTCCCAAGTTTATTTCAGAGCCTGCATATATACAAAACCAAACAAAGGACAGCACAGTCACTATCTAAACACAAGACCATTTCTGTCCTGTTGTAAGAAGTTTCTATTTCTTTCTTGATAGTCCAAGTATTGGCATCAGCAGTATTCTTTCTACTAGGTAGTTGTCCTCTTCTGATGGGCAAAATGCTCTTTCCCATGGGCTTAATCAAAACTTTTTCATAGCCCTCAAGGAAGCTGGAACAAGCAGAGCAGTCAAGCTTGAACTCAAATGGCATTTTAAGTCAGAATTGACTCCAAATGAAAACTGAGTCACACATGGGCTACCACAACTTCTAAGCACAGCACACCAACAAGCATATAAATTCACAGACTGTGGCAACACACACAGGCACCACACAGGTCTGTACTACATGGGGTCCTAGAGCTGAGAGAAGTGGACACAGGATCACAATCCTAATCTAAATGCTATCTCCTTTTTATAGCCCCCTGCAAATGAAAAATTGGTTTTCTTCAAGGGAGACTCACTAGGGAAATAAACCACTCTTAAGGCTAGTTCCTATGCCCTGTAGTAGATAATCAGCACAAAATAATCTAAATAGAATATTTGCAAATCATTTACATCCATATTGTAACTTGTTTTTTCAGTTTTTATAAGATTCCTGTGTGTCCAAACATTGTGTGTTTTACCTCTGTATTTGTTTCTTGTGCTTTTTCTTTTTTTAGATTTTTTTTTATTTTTTTTTACTTTTCCATTCAAAAATTTACATTTCCTCCCCTCCTCCTATTCCCCTCCTGCTCTCCCACTCTCCCTTGTCCCTCCCTCTGCCTTCTTAAGAGAGGGCAGGCAACCCTGCCCTGTGGGAAATTCAAATCCTTCCCCTGTATATCCAGGCCTAGGACGCTTTGCATCCAAATAGAATAGGGTCCCAAAAAGCCAGTACATGCAGAGAAATAAGTCCCAGTGCCTTTGGCAATGACTTCTCAGTCAGTCCCCATTATCAGCCACATTCAGAGAGTCTGGTTTCATTACATGCTCATTTAGGCCCAGTACAGCTGGATTTGTTGAGCTTCCATTAGAGTAGGCACACTGTCTCAGTGGGTGGACCAACCCCATGCAGTCCTGACTTCCTTCCTCATCTTCTCCCTCCTTCTGCTCTTCAACAGGAACTTGGGAGCTCAGTCTCTTGCTCTGATAAGGGTCTCTGTCTCTATCTCCATCTGTCATATGGTGAAGTTTCTATGGTGATATTCCAGATAATGATGAGTGTGATACTGGGACAAGGCCAGTTCAGACATTCTCTCCACTGCTGCCCAATACCTAGCTGGGGAATTCCAAATGCACAACTGAGATCCCTCTAGAGCCAAGTCTCTTGCCAACCCTAAAATGGCTCCCTTAATGTAGATATCTTCTTCCCTGCTCCTTTATCCACCCTTAATCCATCTTTACCCTAATACTCCTCCAAGCTCTCCTCAGTCTTTCCCTTCTCATTTCTCTCTCCCTGTTTTACCTTCGCCCAAACCTGGACCCACCCCAACTCCCACCCCCATGCTCCCAACTTTTGACCAGTGATCTTATTTGCTTCCAATTTCCAGAAGGATCTATATATGTTTTTCTTACTAATGAATGGGATAAGATCTTCGCCAATCCCGCAACAGACAAGGTCTGATCTCCAAATTATATAAAGAACACAAGAAACTGGACATTAAAATTCTAATTAACCCAATTAAAAAATTGAGTACTGAATTGAACAGAGAATTCTCAACAGAAGGAGTTCAAAAGGCCAAAAGACACTTAAGGTCATACACAACCTCCTTAGTGATCAGCGAAATGCAAATCAGAACAACTGAGAGATACCATCTTACACCTGTCAGAATGGCTAAAATCAAAAACACCAAGGTTAGCCTATGCTGGAGAGGATGTGGAGAAAGGGAAACACTCATCCATTGCTGGTGGAAATGAAAACTTGTGTAACCACTTTGAAAATCAGTGTGGCAGTTTCTCAGGAAATTGCGGATCAATGTAACTCAGGATCCAGCAATACCACTCTTGGGAATATACCCAAGAGATGCCCAATCATACTACAAAAGCATTTGTTCAACTATGTTCATAGCACCATTATGTGAAATAGCCAGAACCTGGAAACAACCTGGATGCCCCTCAATGGAAGAATGGATAAAGAAAGTGTGGAACATATACACATTAGAGCACTATTCAGCGGTAAAAAAAAAATACATTTTGAATTTTGCTTGCAATTGGGTGGAAATAGAAAACACTATCTTGTATGAGAGAACTCAGACACAAAAAAGATAAATATGTTGTGTACTCTCTCTTGTGCTTTGTCTTTAGCTCTTTCTCTTCTTTTTTTCTATTCTGATTTATTTGCTTTTGTTTTATCTTAGGGTTGTTTATTGGAGGGGATGTGGGAAGAACTGAGAGGAGTTGAAGGAAGAAAACACTAATCAGAATACACTGTGTGAAACAAACCTCTTTTCAATACAGAATAATGTTTGAAAAAGCTGGAGCATGGTGGTGAACACTTTTATCCCAGAGTTGTAGAAGCAGAGACTAAAGAATGCCTGGGGCTACCATTTGCTCTATCAGGTAAGCCCCTTGACATAGTGATAGATGCCCTCTCAAAACTCAAGGAGAATGACATATGAAGAACAACAGCCAACAACAATGGCCACCATGTGCACATTCAAACACATCCTTAATCTGTGCACACACAAACACATGCATACATACATGCATTGTATAGCTTATATGTAGGTATAAACTATTTCTATCGGCCAGCAATATTTCAGGAAGCATAGATGAAATGAAGTGTAAATACAGAGGTACATGAAAACTTCATGTAATTGTGTTTACATAACTGTAGTGCAAAATGGATTTGAAACTTATATAATTTGTATGGACCCAGAGAAACAATTATTAGAAAATAGATTTAAAATACAATCAAATATTTAAACAATTATTGAAGACTGAGAGTAGATTAAAATATTTTGAGAAGAAAAACTTAAAAGTCAGTATCAGCACCAGGCAATAGTGACACATGCCTTTATTCCCAGCACTTGGAAGTCAGAGGCAGGTAAATCTCTGTGAGTTTGAGGCCTGCCTGATCTACAAGAGCTAGTTCCAGGACAGGGCCAACAACTATGGAGAAACCCTGTCATAAAAAAAAGAGAAAAAAGAAAACGAGAAAAAGATCAGTATCACTAAGCAGGTTCAATCGAGTAGCCTCAATATCAAGGGTACATTTATGATATAAAGTAAAAAGAAGAGAATAAGAAAATTATTGTAGAAATTTCAACTTATGGTGTATAATGAACTTAAAGGACTCTATACCACTTGGCAGCAGAAATGTCACAAGAATGTTTATGTGGTATAAGCCAAGATTGTATTTAAATATATGACTATTAAACAATTAATGAAAAGTCTGTTTTTTAGACAAAAATTATTGGTGCAACACCAATATCATTCCCTACAACCATCTGCACCTCTTGGTCCAGGAAATTCGATGACAACTTCTGACCTCCCTGGGAACCAAAAATTCACACATGCACATAAGCTGGCAAAACACTCTCCATATAAATTAAAATAAATACATTTAAAAAAATACAATTGTTTACAAAATCTAGTGGTATTTTGACCGAATGTTTTTCAGTATATTAATTATTCTGTTATCATAACTGATTTGTACCAAAGGAGTAATTGTGGGATAAACATTCATCACAAGTTTCTGAACACTCTGGATGACTGGGTTGTACATCCATAACAGGACTGCAGTGGATGAGATGATGAAGTCCACCCAGTACATTACCACAAAGAAAGTCACCAGCAGCAAGATGGTCTGGGTGGCCTTTTTCTCAGGAGATGATCTAAGATGGCTGAGCCTGTGAAGATACTTGTGTTGCTTCTGATGTCTGAACAAGATAAGTACAATGTATGAACTTGTGGTCAGCATAACTCCTACAAGAAATACATCAATGGAGGTTGTCACTGTTAAATTCAGTGCCCGGATGATGTAGTTCGGGGGGATGATTGAGCAGGATTTAGTGACCTTCATCTGATTGGTCTCACTCACATTGGTAAAACCACCTACATAGAAGATCACGTAGCTATACAATGACAAAGTGAGAGACCAAATATAGAAGAAAGCATAGATTATGTACTTCTTTAGCTTAAGTTTAAATTTCGCCAAAAACGAGGTACTGGGACTGATAGTGACAGCCTGGAACACACTCAGGAGGCAGGTGATGCAGATG